TGTTGTCATCATTGCACGCTGCGAGCTTTTGCTTCCACTTTTTATTGTGTCAGAGAGCGTGAAGCAAGGCCATCGTTCAAGAAAAGTTGTGCGAGTAATATGTAGTGAATGCAACATCTCAATTATTATCAGAGAACACATGAAAATCAAATGTTTCTAATGCTGCTCTTCAATACATTGAAAGAATTTCATCTTTTGCAAGAGGAGAGCAGAATTACGAACGTAACTGTTCTTGACGAATGTAACGTCCACAAAATTTATATGATACAAACAATACTTTCATATTCTGTTAGATACTTTATTTAAGTTCACCACATGAATTGTAGTATCGACAAACACTATAAATTTGGCACAAGAGGCTTATTTGACACAAATAAGGTGTAATTTAATTTTATTGGGTTGAAAGTATTCTCCATTTTTGTTTGTGTTTGTTGTACGCTGACCGCCTATGGCATTCGGGTAAGAAATGTAGTTTTAAATAAAAATGATTACTTTTGCTTTCTAAGAATGTTCACTACTCTCGTTTTACTTTTGAGATAATGTATAAAACCCACAGCGTTCACGTGTTCGTTGAGCAAGTGTTTTTTGCAGTCATGCTTCTTTGTAAGAAGTTATCTAATTTATTGGTACATTTTGAATAAAAAGTTTTAATGGACTAATTCATGACGAAAACTATTTTATTGAAATTCTTCATACTCTTTACATTACAAAAATCAGCCAACTATAGAAAGTAGTAATAAGTAAGTAGGCTAATAATCTCATGGTATTAATGTATGTAGGAGGAGGATACAAATGTTAATTTGCAAAGAAAACATTTGCATTAGTAGAATATAATCATACATAAATTGATATGAATGTTCAATGAAATTATACTTAAATTTAATATAATCCTTATGTGGTTTCTCTCCAAGTCAGTTTTATTATTTTAAATATACACATGCTGATTCTCTTTAGCTCTCACAAAAACGTCAAGAATATAATTGCGTCAGTTCTCAAAAAAGAGTAGTGGGGGAAAGAGTTGGTGACGATTTTCAATGTGAAGAAAATGTTCAATGTTCATTAAATTTCACGATGAAAAAATCTGTATAATAATTTAGTTATAGGAGGGGGTCGAAAATATATAGGAGCAATCAACTTGCAAATTAAATGTATGAAAATCCAAGGGATTCAAAAAAATAATTTAGTAGTAGTGAAGATAAAAATTACTAAACAGTGTGTTGAATTATTTTTAAAGGGCAACAAACCTGGAATTTAGCGTATGCAATTCAATGATTTTTATTCATTCTCGGTAATGTGGGCAAATACATTTTGTCCTTAGTAGTATGTTTCCGGTAAAATCAGTGGTAATCTAAATTACAAAGGGTTAATGCAGAAACATGTTTTTTATCGTGCAGTACAAATTCTCTTGATTCTTCTTTTTCTTCTCCTTCGTCTTCTTGATTTGATTTGATTTATTCAGTCAAAGAAAAGTAAAATCTGTCTCTGACGTACGGGGAAGAAATACCATCTCGTTGGTTCTTCATCCTGTGCATTCCGTTTTTGTTGTTCTTCTTAATCTTGATTTCTGCCTGACTCTGTAGGTGCCCATTGCTTCAAACTACTTCAAAAGCACAACACCAGGAGTCATGTTTCACTATTTTGGCCTTTTATTACATATACATGTTTTCGTATATTTAAAACATATTGTCTATTGTATTTGTCATAGAATATGAAAATTACATACAATGAAGATTCAATTCAAACGAATGAAAATGATATATAATGACAATAAAGAAGAATGGAGTGTTACAAGCATAGGAAAATCCGAATTCCACTATTTTTTCTTATTGAAAACAATTATGCATATCATATTTCTCTGAGAAATATTTGGATATTTGAAAATAGTATTCATGTTCTTTAACTATTCTTGAATACGAGAGAATTTTATTCATTTTCTTTTATTTTTTGCAATTTTTATTAAATAACTTATTCGTATCATGTTAAGAATACCATATCAAAAGTGAGCAAATTCGTGTGACGCGAACTGTTTTTGTAGAGTATTTAGCAGAAAATAATTATTTCCTTCAAGATTTTGTGGGCTGTAGTGAGAAATATTTTGGAAACGTCTTATCGACGGACACTAAAAATTACATAACATAATTTAAAATAAACAATTTATCGTTCTTTTAAAAGAGATAACTTAAGCAAGAATAAAATGTATTATCTGTCTGTACTGGCGCAACAACTCCTGACAGGTCCAAGGCCTACTAACAGCGTCCCAGTCTTGCAACCATAAGGGGTACGTGTGGTGAGCGAATAGACATGACTAAGCCGTATGCTGGTCTTCTCAACCTGCGAAGTGAGCTTTCTCATCGTTACGTAGCAACAGATACTGAGGCATTGCAAGGAAAGCGCACGCTACTCTTTGCCCCAAACGGGAATCAAACTCGGGATCGCGTCAAGGAAACCGAGTACGTTGACCAATGAGATCCAGTGGGGGCAACATGTATTGTAATGCTTAACTGAATCATTTATTTCAGAAACCCGTCAAACGCCAAAATCTCAAACACGCATTAGCAGCGGATTATTGCTCCAAGAGGATGGTCGTATGGTTTAGTGCATATTTATATGAAAAATATTCATCTATCAACTGCTTTAATAAATAAAAAAATATTGAATTCAGAAAAAGCTTGGGAAACTTTTTATCAGTTTTCTTGAAATGAGGAATTTGGCGTTTGACAGGTTTCTGAAATCAACTATTCAATTGAGTGTGTTTATTACCTAGTGAGGTTGTTGCAACAAAATATTAACAATCTCCATAACTTTACAAGAACGTGTAAAATGTTGATGGATTTAAAAAAATGAAACTGTAGTGATTCTATATTGTTTGTAAAAATATTGGAGACGGAAAGAACATAGTCCCTCTGTTCTATTTCTATATTTTATTTTACAATAAATGATTGCATTTAAAGAGTAATGTATTGATAGAAATGTGGTTATGGAACTAGAAAAAAATAATATCAAAAGTAGTTGATTGAAAATATAAGCAGTCAAATAATTTATCTGAGAAAATTCTCCGTTTCAGTTTTAGAGGCTATCTTTAACTATCTAGATCGCTCAACTACACTTTTATTAATATCTTAAAACGCACAGAAAATATTTAAAAATATAATTAATTACTTTAATGAAGAATTTGAAGTTTTAAGTTTTTTTCATTTGCGTTCTCGTCTTTCTCTCCTGTAAATCAACACACATATTTCGTTAATTTAATTATTTAAATTGTATTGTTTGATTTTGTGTTTCTATGTTTAGTTTCTAAAGGGGTTTTTAGTAGTCCATCCCACACATGTTTTTTACGTAGAGTTGATCTCTAAAAAGCAATAAAATGTCTTTTAATTTTTAATACGTTGAGGCGATATCTTCTATTGTATTTTAAAATAAATAATTAATTAATTTTCAACATAATCAATAATTTGCGTATTTTAAACGCGTGACACCAACAGGAGTGGTCCAGAAAAGTCTTAATAGAAATACATTGCACATTGCATCTCTGCTGGTGAAAACGGGTCACTAACAGAGAAAGAAATCCATTCATCTACAACAACCTTATTTTCCGTTGTAACAATGGATGAGTGATTCTTAATTTAAATTGTTATAATTTATAATTAATGTAAATGCCACCCATACTGAATTGGAGTTATCAAATTAAACAACTGAAACCAACATTAATTATGGAAAATTATTCTACATTTGCCTGTGTTGTATTTCTCGGGCTGTTTATCGGAAGTAAAATTGACTGTTTTTCTTCATAGAACGATATTTTTATTATCCGTCTGAAACAGTGAAAACAATATCTCTAGATATTGCAAATAAAGGGTATCAAAAGTGGGGTGAATGGCGTTCTTTAAAACTTCATTTCGATACTTAATTTCGAACATTAATTTCATCCAATGATATTTATTTTGTAATATTAAAATTACTTACAGAATTCTTTAGGCTATTAATTATGATTATGCTTAATTCTAAATCTGTCACATAATTAACCTTTGGCCAGTTCTTTAAATAATAAATGAAAGGTTGATTGTCTGAAACTTGCGAATCGCAACCCTCGAAGATTATCACCCTAAAAATGATTCGAATTTTTGAAACTATAATATTTGAAAAAAGTTACTAAACAACTGCAGTCAAGTGTGTAAAAATAGCTGCATAGTCTTCGGGCGGAGAGTCAACTTTTTCTAATTTTAGACATCCATGTATAAATAACAAATATTTTCAGGAAAAGAAACTTCCATAATTTAATTTTTTGAATTTGAACCATGACAAAAATGAAATGGTCTTTTAAAATTTGCGTTACACCGAGAGTATTATCGGTTTTTCATAAAGACAACCAAATCTTAGGTTTATTAAAAAAAATTCATTTGGGATTTCACACAACTAGAGCTTTGAAATATATTATCTCCAAAAACCTTTTGGAAATTCTATTTTTCTTGTAAAATTGATTGCAGACATCATTGATCGTCCATTACTTTTGGAAACGATTAACTTTCGGATGTCTTCCTTTCATACAAGGTGATGGTTCACTTTTGAGATAACAATTACAATTTGAGATATTTAGCGAAGAATGTCAAGTAGGTACAATTTATGTAATGATTCGACAATAGATTTCTTTGTTCAACCTCAAATTGTTTCTTACACGAGGAATTTGTTTCCGATATTTGAATGATGTATATTATAGTTCTATTTTAAAATACCATATGTGAGAAGTTTTTATTTTTTCATTCATTGAAAACAGTTTATGCACATGCCAATACTTCATATTTTGTCACGCATATGTCAATATTTTTCTTCTTATTGCTGAACACCTGTTTAAAATAAAGAAATAAATTAGGTTTATTAGATTAATTTAAAACAAGAATTGATGTGGCTAGACTTGCCTTCCAAGATCACAATCTATACTACTCAAGTACTTTTTCGCTTTGTACGTACGCAGTTTTTTTTCTCTTGAATGGTTATCTTTTCAGAGTTGGCGAAGGCTGTACTATATGTTTTGATTGCATTAACTGGCCTTCAGTCAGGAACCATCGTGTATACATTTAGGTATAAATTGTGAATATTTCAAGTAAGATTTATTAAATTTAAACAAATGATTACGCGAATATAACAGATGCTTTAAATCTTCGTAAAAACTCTAAGTGCTACGAAAAAATTAAAACTTTTATATATGGTTGGTATGATTTAAATCATGTGATTAAAATAAATATTTATCAAGTAGAATTTAATCTTTCCAAAACTGTGTGACATTGTTATAAGTCTTATCGACATTGTTACAAGTTTTATCGAAAACGATGACGCCAGTTGTTTTTAACTCTTTGATTAGTAGCACAAAAATTGTAAAATTTCTTTCTGCGAAGAATGCCTTTTTTCTAAATCATGCTAATAGATGGTACTACAAACTTATTCCGTAACGTGAACGAAAGAGAAGTGTTTCAAGAGCATAAAACTATCAGTAACTCAAATTAAAAATTTTGAAGGGTAGTGTGGTATTGAACTAGATCCCTGAAATAAAAAGTATCTTTATACTTTAAAATAAAATTCAAATAGTTCAATGATAAATTTTAAAAATCTATGTTTTAATAATTTTTTTGGTTTTAAAGTAATTAATAATAAATAAAGTCCTTAATGGTTTTTATTTAAAGTAAAAGCATCTAAAAACATCTTATTTAAATCTAATAAATCTGATTTCAATAAAATATGATATTTTTAGCCCTACTATTGTATATGCTTCATTTTCAATTTTACAGGACGTGATCATTTGAAACTTGTAATGCTTATTTAAATTTTATTAGAATCAATATTCTACAATATACTGTAGTTTCTAGGAAGAATCCGTAGGTCTCATGAGTCTTCTTCTCAAGCAACAAGGGATGGCAACAAGGTGAAGGGGCGTGAGGTAGAGACATGGCTATATCCTGATAATATCCAGAATTTAAAAAAATGAATTAAATATATGTTTCAATATGATTTATATTACTTGTAAATTTATTTTCAAACCATTTAAGTTGCACGCATTTTAAAACTTTATTATTTTAAAAGCTGCTGTTCATCTTTAAATTCAAACTATTTCCAGCAAGAAAAATATAAAACAATTTTTGGAAATATAATTGAGATATTTTATTTTACATATATTTAAATGATTCTGTAAAGTAAATTATTATAATTTCAACTTTAAAAAATTCATTTTTGTTTTAATAACGTCCACTTAAATATTTTTCGCATTACTTTTCTGTTATTTCGACTTTATTCAACCAAACGGAGGAAAGAAAATCCATTAAGCGTCCATTAAGAATTTCAACAGTTCGCGGACCGTGAAAAACAATCGAAACAAATTAATTACCGCTCAAGGTATATGAGTACTCCTACTCAAAGAAATTGTAGGTCTTATTATATTTTTTTTCTTATAAGAAGGTGGTAATACGCAAAGCAATATTCAAGAACACGCGACCGATATCACAAATTACGAACTTTGTCACTATTAAACCTCTTTACAAAGTTCAACCGCGACCGCTATTATCAGCCCAGAGGCCTAATGACGATGGTACGACAGACACTTTAGCAGTCATCCTTGCTTCAACAATCGCCGGCACAGGGGTAGGCAGCCTAAAGTAACAAGGGTGGGGGTTACAGCTATATTTCTGACTTCCCTTTTCCATTGAATTTTTTTATATATACATACATTTTACTAGTAAATTAATAAAAAATAGATCAGAAAGGAGAGTTAAATTATAAGCGTAAAGATTACAAATTGTATGTACAAATTATTTTATGTTGAACAATTTTCAGAGTTGCCTGATCTGGAAAGCCTCTTCTTCAAATGTCGTAAAACAAATTTCCTAATTTACTGGTTATGACAAAAGAATTTAAAAGATTAAGAACAAATTATTGTAATTAATAATTCTGTTTTTTTTTATTTGAAAAAATGGAAAATTTGAAAAAAAAATCATGTTACTAGGGCATAAAAAACAGAACGATAACGGCCTCAGCGTCAAGCTCGCGTTAAGGTAACACTCATGGGAGAGAGGGCTAACCCGACCAAAAATAAAAGCAACTGTAAAAAATTCCTAATTGTCAGGTAAAAAGGGGGAAAATCATGGCTTCAATATATTTACAGTAAAAAAAGTATTTTATAGCGTTCAGCTCTGTAGCAGAGCCTCTCTGAAAATATTATGGGGAAATCACGGCCCCCTGATTCCTTTCTGCGCACGCCTACGATCGCGGATCCTGGGAGTTCCCTGTCTCTCCGTCGTCGGGCGCGGCGGCGGCGTGGTGGCGGCGGCTAGGCCAAAAACGGGCGCCCGGCGACTGCGCGCATCGCGGTAGGCACCGCGGCCACGACCCGGCATCTACCCCTGTCTCCCCGCGCCGCCGCCACGACAACCCGCCCGCCCCGCCGACCCCGCCGCCCCGCCCGCACTCCACGAGGCGCTCGCAGCGCTCGCGCGCGAAAACCGCGCACTTTTCTGGCGCGTCGTAGTTGCTGCCTTCGTCATCAGATGACAGCAGGTGCGCGCTCTCGCCGTCGCCGCTCCGTCAGACCCGCAACCCGCCGCGCGCCGCAAAGATTTAAGCCAACGCTGCCGCGCGCGCGTCTAGATCCTAGACCTGGACGTGATAACAGGTGGACTGCGGGCCTCATCCAGGCTCGTAAATGTTTCTGTTCGCCCACAATAAAACAGTAACATATTTTACGAAACAAATACAAATTATGAAGAATTTAAAAAATACATTTCCTTCTTTGTATTTCTCTCTTCACTAGGGATGCAATAGGAAGTTTGTAGTAACAGATGGCTCAAATACTTCGAATAGTTGATGTTCTTGTATAGTTTGTTTATAATTCTGGCTCCCTCAAGCTTCCTTTAACTGTAATTTAAACATTAATTGTCCTTCAGAAAATTATAATTGAGAAACGGAGTACCTTGCTCAAAGTTTGCCGAAAGTTAGTACATTAATAGTAACCCGGATAATGCAAGGTAAAATAAATTCCAATACATAAATTGATACCTAAAAATATTTGCGTTCCGCAAAAACTAAGCATTAAATGATTTTTACATTTAAGCATTACTTAAATGATAAACATTTTACCATATATATATATATATATATATGTGTGTGTGTGTGTGTGTGTGTGTGTGTGTGTGTGTGTACTGCTGCGGAAGATCAATTTCTAGATTCCAACGGAAATACACTTTTTGGGGTCCCCTAATTCCGAAAAAGTGTTTTGTTAAAACGTCCGTCTGCCCGTCCGTCTGTGAACACCGCTAGGTCCAAACCATACAAAGAATTTCTTCCAAATGCAAGACACTCCTGTTCACCTGGCTCAAGTCGAAGCTTTGAGATATTCATTCATTTTCTCAAAAACGGCTCCAATTTTTGATGTCCTGATGTCAAGTCCTGACGAATTTAAAACAATAGCTACTTTGGTAGGTCAAATTCAGGAGGAGAATTCTGGCGCCCGGCTGCTCGATTGGTAGAAGTGATTTTCTGTGGTTTCTCCGATCAATGCCAGGCGAATGCCGTAATAGAAATCTAGCAAGCGGGACAAGAAGCGTGCAATCTTCCCTTCCTCTTCCGTATCCTGTCCTCACCTCTTACTCACACACACTTAGACTTACCTGCACTTCACAACCACACGAAAGGAGACCAGTTGGAAGATTAGAGCCCGTCTCGTTCGGGTGGGGCCCTGATGGTGGGAGATATCTGATTGGGCAAAATCCCGGAAGCCGATGTGTAGTACAGCGCCGGATCTCGCTATCTAGCGGACTATCACAGCCACGATAAAAACATGTACAACACATACCGCACTTACCTATTAAATCAGTCAAAGCGCTCGGATTGATTGATTGATTGATTATTGATCAACTAATCAATTGTAGTGTACATCTGTAGTAAATAATTGAATGTTATTTCTGACTAACGTAATTGAATATATTGGCACATTTGAGACGTATATAAAAGATTTGATTTATAGTTTACATACTACAATATGAATCACATGAAACGTGTCAGAAGGCGAGGCGTATCACTGAAATAGATGAAGTTATTCCTACCAGTACTAATAGATCATTTCCTACTTTCTAAATATTTTTCCTCTTCGAAATGTGACAATTGAACTTATCTTAATTATTGTAAGTCCTGCATAATAGTAATAAAATGACAGTTTTAAATTCCCAATATATGTGTTTGGGCATTGATGAGTACCTACAAAATTTCTCGAATTAATCTCGTACTAACAGTGTTGTTAATGACTGAAATGATGGTAATATTATATACAGATATCTCAGAATAAATCTTACAAACGGCAAGGGCATGTATAGGGTTTGGAAACACATTTTGAATCACATTTGTCATGCCTGAAATTTCATATAAATGAGTTAAGCATGTAGCATTTTCTTCTGATTTTTAAATAACTCTGTGCACGTATGTACAGCAGGTAACATTGTGACGCAATTAACGGTTTTTCATGTACCTGCCGAATATTGTGCGTACGGGGTTGCCTAATATGTATATTTTTCCTCCACAAGTTCAGTAATATCTTGAGAATGATAACATTTTTTGACAACCGCCTGCAACCGGGCATATATGTGCCACGCGTAACGCTGGTAGCTATTTCTTGAAATGTAGGAAAATATGGAAATCACAGAGGGACGGAATCCGGGCTGTATGAGTGAATTGTCAACAGCTCTCAAAGAAACTGTTTCAACCTCTTGTAAGCCGAGCCATGTGTGAACAACTGTACGACCAATCGCTTTCTTGTCTGAATCTCGCTTCTCCCGCACTATCCATATTTTCTTACAACTTATGGGCACAGATTTAACATATTATCTGTTTACATGTATATGCTTTATTCAATGGAGGTTAATGACATATGTGTTGATTTGTAACTTTCTTTTAGGAGAAAAAATAGATTCTATGAATATATCCTCGTATTCTACAATTGGTGAGCAATTGTAAAGAAGAAGCGCCTATTTATCTGTTTCCACTACACGATCCTTTTAGAATCCTTAGTTGATTGATAAAATATGAATTCATTTTTTAAATTC